GTCGTGGTCTTCTTGCAGGTGCACGCGGTGGCTTCTTCAACCTGCGGATCCGCTGCGGCGGACTTCTTCTGAACGGCGATGGCGCGTGGAATATCGGGTACCTTCTCCGATACCAATGCAATCAGACTCGCTATCTTTCACACTTGGTATGCATGTAAACAGGTTGCGCAGCAAACTGGCGACAAGCGCCCACTCAGAATTCAGAGATATGGAAACCAAGAACGCAGTTCAGATACAAGTTCACTTCAAATGGCTATGGCATCACAGCGCCTGTACAACTCTCTGTTCACACACACAGGATCACCCTTGATATCGCACACGCCGTACTCTGTACACACATACGCACACACACGCTACACTCTCCTAACAGCTATGGCGGCTATGGCCGCTGCTACCCTATCGCTATGGCTAAGCTCCTTCTCTCGCCCACTTTGTCCTCGGGCTCACTGCAGACCACCTCGCACAAGTCGCTGTGGCAGCGCTTCCGCATGGCTTACGCAGGAATGAATGAATGGCTGGGCGCTGCCTCTTGATTTATACTTCTGCAGCTCGTTCGTCTGCCCCCTTTCCCATGCCCGTGGTGCACACAGTCCCATACAGTACTTGCTTGACTGGACTAGGACTGACTGGGACTGGGACCACTGACTCAGCACGGGTAGACTCCACCACTTGCCCACTTGCCTCAGCCTAAACGTGAGCAGCTTCGAAAGGCCACTACTAGGACCTTTCGGAAGGCCGTGGACTTGGCCTTTCAATACTGTAGCAGCTACGTCCTTGACCCTTCAGGACTGTAGCAGCTACGACCTTGACCTTTCGGAGGAGCTACAGTTACGATTTCTAGACCTTGCTAAGACTCTTGTCCGACAGGTCTAGAGATTGAACCCCTATAACCTACAGACCTACGACGACCTACCAACTGGGGAAAGAACACAGGTCKTGGGTTCAACTCCTGGGGTCGACACAGATACTGTACACAGGTAAGGTAAGTCTAGGGATCGAGCCCTGGGATCTGCATCGGCTACTGCGAACAGGTGAATACCGTTTCACTAACGTCTTCATCCGAATAGAACACCATGTCATTATAGCCGTGTTTAGACTGAAAGTTGGCCCAGATACCGCTAGACAGTAGTAATATCGACGGTACGTAGTTCTATTTGAGTTTCTTGTGGGCCAAGCACATGGGAGGAAGACTGCACGAATGAAGAGGCATGCAGTACTATTCAAGGTCACAATGGAAGCTTGTTACACTTCTTCTCATTTGCCGCGCAGAAAACAGGGAAGAATTTAGTGGGTCATGCTTATGAGAAGTAAACCTGTTGCAGCCATGGCTATTTGTTCTTGCCATATACATCCTTTTTTATATATATATTTTGAAAAAACTAAGCTATCTTCTTCTCTCAATTATACCTCACACTACCTACCAACCTATATATGCCTTACACCAGCCTCCACCGACGTCTAAGCACCGTGGGGAAACCTTACTCCGCTGGGGTTGGGCCTAACCTAAGGCAAGGGATGGAAGGGACAAAGGAATAGCCCCTATCAATACCAACCAGGGGGGACAAGCCGACTATCTCTGCTGGTGAACCCCACAGCGCGCCACAGGAGGTCATGGTCATGGCGATTCGAATGGAAAACGTGGGGAAGCGACCCCACGACCTCCTGAATTCCGCTTTCGTGCTCTAGCGACTCACATGGGCCGCAGCCCTGGTATATCTTCCATCGATCTGACCTGCCCTAGGTAGCTCAGAATGATTTAGTTCCATTCCATCAAGGTTCATCTGGATTCAAACTCGGGTCTGTATTTCATGGGTGTACCAACTATATCCAATCATTTTCAGAGAAGTTTTCGCATCGTGATCAAGGTGGTTGCCACCCACGTGCGCAAGCTTTCGAAGGTTTTCTTATGTTCTGAAAGAGGAATTCATCCGAATGATATTGATTTTTCAATTTTTTGGTCGCGTGTGCATCAATTCCAGGCAACTGTGTGAGTTATTCAGCAAACATGTACGCGTGAGGAAAACACATAAAAAAAAAAGAATTCAGTACAGTCAGCAGTTGCAGTACTCCCTCTAAAGAAAGAAGTACTCAAAAAGAGTTGGTCGGTTATTCTGCCCGTTGTTGAAATCTGAATCCCGGTTTCACTTGCCTGGACAACTAGCTGGTGAATACCGCCACCACGGAACAGTCCTCTGTTTGGCTCAATATGGATATTGAACGTGTCTCGAACCATATGTCCCTCTGCAAACAGCCCCACTGCAAGTACACCCCATAAACCACAGCCTAAATGCACAGGCACTGCGTTCACCGGGTCGTCAATCTTCAACCTGTAACCAAGACGCCATAAAGACACACACAGTACCCAATGGGACAACGGGAATCAGAAACTCAGTACCAAATGGGACAATGGGGATCAGAAACTCAGTACCAAATGGGACAATGGGAATCACAAACTCAGTATGGAATCAGAGAAACTCAGCACCAAATGGGACGATGTGAATCAGAAACTCAGTACCAAATGGGACAATGGGAATCAGAAACTCAGTACCAAATGGGGCAATTGGAATCAGAAACTCAGCAATGGTGTATACTTTACTTCTCTCTTCGGTGATAAATCCCTCTCAACTTCGAACTGCCAGAGAGATAAAGGAGAGAGGCAACTTATTCGAATAACAGTAACATGCTGAGAAGTACTTGGCCAAATAATAATGTGGTCAAACTTCCAAAGTGAAACGTTTTTCACCTTTCTGCAGTCACATGCGGGCCCTAGAGTTCGATCCCCAGACCTCACTTTGCCCATGTACAGTATCGAGTCGACACCTGACTGTTTGAACCCGTGACCTGTGTTTTGGTAGTTGTTTCTCGCCTGTCGTAGGTCTGTGTAGTGGTAGGGGTTCGATCTGTAGGTCTGTCGATTAGGAGTTACAACTTTGTAGAGGTCGTAGCTGTAGGTATTTTGAAAGGTCAAGGTCGTAGCTGCTACAGTCCTGAAAGGTCAAGGTTGTAGCTGCTACAGTACCCGAAAGGCCAAGCCCACAGACTTCCGGAAGGTCCAGAAGTGGCCTTTCGAAGTGTCTCACGTTTAGTCAGAGGCAAGTGGGCAAGTGGTAAGCCCAACTGCGTTACGTCGGCAGTGCGACTGCATCCAGTTGGCAGTGCAAACCCATGCAGTCAGCGGTACCGGTCCCAGTGAGTCAGAGTCCAGTCAAGCAAGTAGCGTGTGGGACTGTGGGCACCAAGGGCCTGGGAAAGGGGCAGACCAACCAGCTACAGAAGTATAAATCAAGCGGCAGCGCCCAGCCATTGATTCATTCGCTGCGTAAGCCATGCGGAAGCGCTGCTACAGCATCTTGTGCGAGGTGGTCTGCAGGTCGCCCGAAGTCGAAGTGGGCTGAAGGGAGATCGTAGCCATAGTCAGTAGTGGTAGTGCGGCCATAGCCGCTGTAGGAGGAAGTTAGACATAGTGTATCTGTGTGGTGGTATTCAGGGTGATCCAGAGTGAGCGTGTGTGAACAGTGGGGTCGGACACAGTGACGAAGGTTGGGATGTTCAGGCGCTGATGCGTCATAGCCTGTTGAAGAGAACTTGCACCTGAACTGTGTTCTTGATTTCCATATCTCTAAGCTTTGAGTGGGCGCCCTCGGCCAGTGTGAATCTCCATCTGTTTGCATGTGTGCGAAGTGGAAAGAAAGTGAGTCTGATTGCATTCGTATCAGAGAAGGCACCTGTTACTCCACGCGCTGCCGCCGTTGTCAACAATCGGGTGCCATAGCTGAGTCGCGCCGTTGAGCAGGGAGGTTCGCCATAGCCTCGCCATAAGAGAGAGGCGCTGCGTACCTGCACGGAAGACAACGACGAAGAGGGGAGAGAGAGAGAGAGAGAGAGAGAGAGAGAGAGAGAGAGAGAGAGAGAGAGACGTGCGATAGAAGATTGTTGTGTGGTCCAAGAAGAAGAAGAAGGCCATAGCCGCGAAGCTCGGACATGGAGGAGAGTGAAAGAGAAGGTGAAGAGAAGGAGGGAGGAGAGACGAGTAAGGAAGAAGAAGCCATAGCTGAGTAAGGAGAGGGAGGGACGAAGAATAAGAAGGGGGACATAGCTGGGGGTGAAGAGAGAAAGGAAGTGCGGAAGGAGAAAGGGAAGTGAGGGAAGGTGAGAGAGGTGTTGGCGGCCATAGCCGAGTTGACCGTTGACCCCAGAGTTGACCAAAGTTGACTTCTGCGTTGACTCAGGTGTTGACCAAGGCGTTGACCGGGGGTTTGACCGGGGTTGACCAAGCATTGACCAAGGCTTTGACCGGAGCTGCTGACCACGAAATTGACCAAGCTGGAGTTGGTATAATCTCACCAAGCCCTTAGCCTATTCCCTTGCCCTATGGATGTGCACTCACCCCATGGTACTTGCTGAGTTTGTCTGTCTCTTCTTTCTGCATTGAGTCTCTTCTGTCCAGGGATAGGAACTCCGTGTATGAAGGATAGAGCCTTGTTGACCAAACCCACACGGGCTAAGTAGGGCTAAAGGCCGTGTCTGACGACTCGACTGTCCCGGAGGACACGAACCGTCCCAAGGACCGGTACTGGCCACCGGGCTGCTCGGTGTGGCACTGTAGGCGGCATCGGGACCGTAGCGTTGCCCTGGCTTCCCAGCTTACGGATCCAGCTCCGACTTCTCCCATCTTAGGAGTCATTTCCATGATTCCCATACCCATCACTTTTTCTACCCTCTGCCGACCCTCACGCCCTAGTTAGGCAGCCTCGCATGCTTCATCTAGGTGCGCCAGTATACCAGGCTCCCTTGTTCCCTTGCATGGTCGACCCTCCATTGCGGTCACCGCTTTAGTCGAGCATTACGCGCCCTAATGGTCTATCTGTTAGGGTCATTGGTTCTGTTCGCTCCCAGTTCCCTACCCTCATTGAGCCTAATGACATGAGCCTCCCTGTCATTTTGTGTGGATGCCCTTAGGAGTTATCGACCCCTAGGCTGCATTTGCCACCCTCAGAGACCATCCCACCCTTGGGTTTGCGACACACTCCTCCTGTGACTATGGTTGTCTTGTTGTTGCTTTGTTGCTCTCAGATTGAGGCTACTGCCTCTGACATTTCTAGGATTTAGTTGTTCTTATTTTGCTGTTCTTAGGACTTATACACTAGTCAATTGTTTTCAGACTGAGGCTACTGCCTCCAACATTCTAGGATCTAGTTGTCATTACTTTCTGCTTTCCTAGGACATGTATGCTAGTTAGTTGCTTCTGCTTTCCTAGAACATGTATGCTAGTTAGTTGCTTCTGCTTTCCTAGAACATGTATGCTAGTTAGTTGCTTCTGCTTTCACTTAGACTGTTAGCCGTGACATTGCTGTTTTTTGTGACATTTTCTATCCTAGGTTGCATCGCACAGACTCAGCATGGAGCTTGCTTCACATCCTAGACTACTCGGGTTTCTTTTTCTTTGGTAGAGTTCCGCTTCTTGGCGGAAGCGTGCTTGTATCTAGGCGATCCATCACAGGCCGAGGATCGTTTAGCGGACCTCTGGTTGGGCAGTGAGACCAGCCCCTTGGCCTGTTCTCACAGGCCTGTGTTGTATTCAGGGTAGTCCAGTCCAGGTCGGTACCTCTGTTGGTACCAGCCAGTCCAGCCCGGTTCAGTTGCTGGGGTATGCCCAGCTGTTGTCTCAGAGACCCGCTGGGGTATGCCCCAGCTGTTGTCTGTTTGTGAGATCATTCTACACGCCACCACGGCCTCCCCGAGAATATCATCAGCGACCGCGATCCCCGTTTCCTCACAGTTTTGGAAACAACTCTTCAACGCCTACGAAACTACACTCAAGTATAGCACTGCATTCCACCCACAGACCGATGGACAAACCGAGAAGATGAACGATACTCTCCAAGGAATTATACGGAAGTATTGTCATCCACATCAACACGACTGGGATCAGTTGCTCACCGCCACCGAGATCGCCTACAACAACGTTGTCTGTCCTTCCACTAGCATGTCTCCATT